TGGTTGATCGTATGAAATTTTTTTTATGTATTCAATAACCTAAATAATCCTTTTCGTTATTTATATTCATATTTATTTTTACAATACTTTTCTCCCGTTTTCTATCTATTACTTGTCTATTGCTGTCTATTTAATTTTTCATATATATGGTGTCTTCAAGGAATAAATAGGCCCTTATATTTTCAACATTTTTTTATAATCCTTCTGATAACATTTCGAGCTTATTAGCACATAAAGTCATCTGCAAATAGGAATTAAAATTAAATATAGATAATTTACAACTATGGTTGCTTATCATCTATTCATATAACCAGTGTTTTATTTAAACTTTATGCTCACCCAGTACGGAATAACCTCCTCCGTCTACTTTTAAATATTGACTGTACATATGAACTCTTTAGGGATGTCTATCTCGGTAGGAATTAACTAACGATTGAATGGGATCTAGCTTTGTTGGTGTTTATTGTTATTTATTATAGGGTAATAGACAACAATAAACATCAACAGAGCTAGATCCCAATCAATCGTTAGTTAATTCCTACCGAGATAGACATCCCTAAAGAGTTCATATGTACAGTCAATATTTAAAAGTAGACGGAGGAGTTAGTTCCCTACTGGGTGAGCATAAAGTGTAAATAAAACAATAATTAGCAGTGATAGAAATACTAAATAAAGTAGTTTATGAAATTAGTATATAAAAAAACCTTTTGGTAAGTTCTCACTCCTTATATGACTAGATGATGAGCAACTATAGTTGTAAATTATCTTTGTTTAATTTTAATTGTTATTTGTAGATGAATTGATAATAATCAGGTCGAAAAGTTGTCAAAAGGTTAATAAATTTTTTTTTGAAAATATAATATATCTATTTATTCCTTGAAGACACTATATATAAGAACATTGAGTGCCCTTGAAAAATACAACTGAAATAGTCAAATTAATTTTTCATTTCATTATATTTTGTTGTGAATGTCTAATTATAATTATATCAATTACCAAATATGGTTTATAATTACAATTTTTTTCTGAGGAAGAAATAATTTTTCGCATTCATATAGAAACTAACTATCCTTCCCATATAGAGTAATTTGTCAATCTGTTTTGTTTCACTTGTTGAAATCCTTAAGGAATCTTTCAGATCTTTCATGCTCGGGCCATTTTCGAAAATGAAAAATAAATATTGTGTATTTATGATAATAAATTGTACTTTTATTAATCTGTACATAATTCGATATCAAATTACTGTTTAATTTGTGACCGTTTTCTTCTCTAAATAACAATAATAAGTAATTAACTTGCTTCCATAGATATTTCAAATAAATAATAATAAAAGATGTTTATGGTCGGTTTAGAGTGTTACCCAAAATCGGTCTTGGTCTTGCACTTTGCAAGACCAAGATCAAGACCGCCTAACAGTTGCAAGACCAAGACCAGGACTGATAAAAAAAATTTCGAATAAAAATTAAGGCAAAATAGTTACTAATACTTCAAAATTTTAGTTACTATATGTAAATAATTGGTATAAAAAAAATACTTTTGCATTTAACTCCTCTAATTTTTCATTTGGGCTTAGTTAGATCTCTCCTATCTAACAAAATACAGTAATATTGGTGCAATCCCAAGTTTCCAATTTCCTCGAAAAGTCTAACCAACTTGATCCTCTCTAATCTGGTTTCCGTCCCGGCTACTCCACACAAAATCAAAATTACTAATGATGTTCAGACTGCAATAGATAATAAAAAACTAACTGTCCTTATACTTCTTGACTTCTCTAAAGCCTTTGATTCCATTAACCATCCCATCCTTTTCAACAAACTAAAATCACTCTCCTTCTCCAATAGCTCCATCTCTTGGTTCCAATCTTTTCTATCACAACGCACCCAAGCAGTCTCCATTCCTAATCAACCACTATCTGCCTACCTGCCTTTATCCTCTGGAGTTGCCCAAGGATCTAGCATATCTCCTCTCCTTTTTGGTTCCTATATCAATGACCTCCATTACTCAATTCTCCATTGTTCCCACCATCTTTATGCAGACGATTCTCAAATATACCTATCATTTTCTCCCCCTGAGCTATTGGTAGCATTTACTAAGATCCAAGCAGACCTAGATCGAATCTGTGCCTGGGCAAAATTAAACGGATTAAGGTTAAATGCTTCAAAAACTCAGGCCATTGTCATTGGTTCCAAGCCCCTCCTTAGATCCTATACGGACTTTCTCATACTAAACCTTGGTGACCAGCCAATCTCCTTCTACTCCTCTGTAAAAAAATTAGGATTATTTATTGATCAAACCCTCTCCTGAAGTCACCATATTTCTCACATCTCCCGACGGACAGTTTCTACCCTCAAACTATTCCATTGCTTCCGCCATCTCCTACCTCAACATACGCGCAGACTCCTCGTTTTCTATCTCATCTTCCCCCACTTTGACTACAGCTGTGTGGTGTATGATGGACTCTCGGTGGAGCTCCGCGACAGACTGAAAAGAATAATGAACAGTTGCGTGAGATTTGTAATTGGTGCCCCGAGATACTACCATGTCTCTCACCATTACACTGAGTTAGAGTGGCTCTTCCCCTTAATTCGAAGACAATATTTCCTAGGTACATTCCTCTATCATATCATCAACAATCATCGTCCTTCCTACGCCTACAACCTTCTCCAATTCAAGTCCTCAGTCCACTCCCTCTCCACAAGATCTCGACCTTCCGACCTTTACATTCCTTCTCACAGATCGGCCTCGTTCCAAAACTCCTTTATTGCACGTTCTGTTAGTTTCTGGAATTCCCTTCCTATCAAAATTCGACATTCTTCATCCTTATCTACATTCAAAACCCTCCTATTCCAATTCCTGTCCCAAAAACAGTCAGGCACCAGCTAATCTTTTATGTAAAATTACATATTAACTATAAGACCATATTCACATATAGCTCATGACCTGAATACTTATTATAGATTCGACTTTCTTTTTCTCTTTTTTTTTTTTTTCAACAGAAACAGATTTTACTGTTAAGAAGAATATACATTTATTTTTTCTGTATTTTTTATTTTTTCTAAAAGGGTTTATTTATATTTTAACATTGTACATAGTTTTAAGTATCTTAGTATGGTTTCAAGAATTTTTTATATAGATTTTTTTATTTTATTTTGTTTATAGTATGTATAACCAATATTTTTTTCTTTTCTTTTCTTTAATGACCTATCTTTATCTTAATTTGTTATGTTTGTTTTTATCTGGCCAGATGTAAAATTTTAATTTCTGTACTTTTTGGTATTCTGAAGGGACTTCGTCCCAGAATAAAATTATTTTTCTATTTCTATTTCTATTTCTAATATCTCTACACTAATAATCTAATAAGTAACTGCAAGACTGTTGCCAGACTCTTGCGCAAGACCAAGACCATGACCAAGACTGAGTTTGCAAGAGCAAGAATCGTTTCGGTCTCATATTTGGGCAACACTATCGGTTTATTACAAAAAGTCATTAAGAGACATTTGATATTAATAACTTTAAATAACTAAAAACTTTCCTATAGCATCAATAGCATCAATCAAATAGCATCAATTTCCCCCTTTTGAATTCAAAACACTGTATACATATTGTAACTAGATTTGAGATACAGAATAAGATGGAATAGAAAATAAACTTTATCCTGGGACGATGTCCCCTTATTATAACAATAATGAACAGTTACAAAATAAAAGATACATATCTGGCCAGAAACTAACTTAATAAAGATTCCAACAATATATACAACTACTTTAATAATAGTATGTAAATAACTAAAAAATGAAATAAAATCTTCTCAACAATACTTATAATTGTAATGGAAAAAAACAAACAAACAAAAAAAAAAAAGGAATTACATGTATAGAAAGAAGAAGCAAAAACTCTAGAAAAGAAAAAAATTTCAAAAGTACGTAAATGAAAAGTATTGACTTCTTATGTTAAACCATAAACAGCTAAAACTTAACAAAATATATACCTAGTAAAGATATATTAATGACAGAAAATGGGCAACGGGATTACAATATTACATTATCCCGGCATAAGAGATATAAAATAAGAATAAATAGATAAATACAATTAGAAAGGGGCATAAATTAATTTTATGAGAAAACAATAATAAAAATAAAATTAATTAAAAGAAAATAAATTATTTATATATGTTATACAATACGCAATGGTACTGTAAACTATAAACAAACACGGAGATTAAGATAGGAAAAGATATATATGTATATAAATTGAGGAATGTAAAAAATGAAATACAATTAAAATATATATAATCTTATAGATAGAAATATGATATATATATATATATATATATATATATATATATATATATATATATATATATACACACGTTTTATCAAGGAAAAAAAAGGTCTAAATTCACTAAAACGTTCTTAAAATTCCAAAATCAAAAATGTACTTAGTGATTTTTTGCCATAAGCCAACGATATACTTTGATCGGAACATTGAGAATTTAGCAGGATAAGAGGTGATATTAGAAGAATGTTTAAAATTTAAACGTTTTAGAAATAAATAATGGTAAAATATCCCAAGTAAGACGATATTCTAGTGAGAAAGAAATTCAGTTTCCTCTTGTTGGTATAGATAATACGAATGAACACCTGTAGCCCTTCAATGTGGCAGATTGTATTACCTTTCAATAAGCTAAATAAAAGAAAAAGTAAGAATGAATAGGATGTATTTCCATTTAAAGGGGTATAGAGCTGGATTACCTTAGGCAAAAAAAAAAAAAATGAGGAAAGGTTGCCATCAGAGAGTAGATTTATGAGTGAGATAAGTAACGAAAAATTATCATTAGTAAAGAAACAAGTGATGGACTGTACTGAGAATTTAACACAATTTAAAATGAAAGTGCGAATAAATTGCGACCGAATAGCTGGACATTTTTTTATTTTATTTTGAATAAGTAAGGTTTATATTTAATATATCAACAAAAATCAATATATATTTGTCTCAAATACCTGGAGGAGGCGAAGGGTTGTTCTCCTTGTTGGCCTGGATTTTCTCAATGACGGATTGGAGCCTGTCGGAATTGCCCATGAACTGCATCGCGGCGAATCCTGGACAACACAAGCTCGATGGGGACGTTCCCACCAGCTCTGCCCAGCCTCTTACCACCTCTGCGTTATCCTCCCCACTACATTTCGGCCCATCCTACCGTCCCCCCACTTCAATTGCCATCACCGATACAAGCAGTTTAAAAAAACAAAAAAAAATTAAAAAAGGAAAATCGCACTCCATCAATGAATAATTTATAACAATGAAGACCGGGCTCTTATTGACTCCCGAAGTTAAAGAAGCTTTAAGCTTTGAATGAATTCTATTGGACGTCGAAATTGGTTACTTTACTCCTTAAAGGATCATGTTACTCCAATGAAGTCAAACGTATGTGGCCCATCAGTAGCAATCTAAGGACCAAATTTCTCGATTACTATAAAAATTCATATTTAAGGGGATATCGAGATGCGGAAAATGAATATCAACTTCGTTTTTCCCTTAAAAAATCTTTACTCAAGTATTGCTAAGTCGCTTGGTCCAACTTGTTTTAATATTGTTCTCATACGGCAGCTAACAGCCAAATATAATATCTTTTTTTAAACCGGTCCTGTATTTAGTTTTTACTAAGGATTGTTTCGGTAGATAATCGATAATAGCTTTTACCATTTCAAAAAACCGTCAATGAGGAATTTTTATAGCCATCGAAAAATTATAATGTTTTATACCCAGTTTTTGCTTAGGTTGGACGGAAGTTTTTGCGACAACCACAAAAATTGTGACAACTTTAAGACAACTCAACCAATCCACATGGAAATTATCAGGAATTTAGGAACTAAATGAAACGGAAGAAACTCGACATCCGTAAACAAATTAGAAACAAAGATACAAAATAAAAATATTTGTTGAAGTTTTTCTTTCTTTCTTGCTTATTAACGAATTAAATCCAAATTGATATGGGCCGGAAGAACAACGGTTATACTATCGTTGAATTTGGAGAAAATCTCGAGGAGCCATGAATGCTTTAGTTAACTGCCTGAGAAAAAAAAACTACAAGAAAATTGAGCAATAAAATACGTATTATTCGATTTTTATAAAAAATCGTATTTTTTTTTAATTCATGAAATTTACAATTGTATGAATTAAATATATAGTAAATGTGCACAATGAAATGCAATGGCATGGAAAAAATTGTACAGAATCTATCCATTGGTAGCACTCTAATAAAGTATTTAAATTAGGATTTCACGAGGCACTCTTCTTTTCAGACGCCTTGAGGGTTATCAGGGATCGTGGAGGAAGCAAGCCTAGAAACGAGAGGATTAGGATGGTTCTGAAGTTTATTGTGGAAAGATATATATCTGTATTGGGCCAATTCGGAAACATATGGAGCATTAAGATCGTTATAGATGATTTTATTTATTTTTTTATATTTAAAGTAAGGAGCATTGAGAATTTTACGAAGGATTTTGGATTGTAAGCATTGGATGCGTGAGGAATTCGATGGCTTAGTGAACTCATATACATTATAGTCATGTATATGAATCTTTTGTAGTTAATTGGGTGTTTAGAACGTTTATCTAGTAAGTGCTGAAGTAGTCGGAAAAGCCGGGCGGTTTCTTGTCTTTTTAGTCTGGTATGAGGATTCCAAGTTGGACGTTTGTCCAGGTGCAGTTCTAGGTATCGGATTTGATCATCAGGGATAAGCGGGTTATTATTAAAGGATGCTTTAGTACAGGAAATCATATGTGCACGCCGAAGCGTAAAGATTAAATTCGTATCAATTTCTAAAGGGGACTAAAAACGAATCTGATCGGTTTGTTATAACTAAAATTTACTTGGCCTACTCCACTAGAAGCGTATTTTGTAACATATCAGTTTGGCCTGAGACGCCCTAGTGTGTACATCGGTGTAATTCGTTTATATAATAGACTCAGTTTACTTTAATTTAATTTTCAGTTCAGTTAAGTTCAGTTTTTTTCTTCTCTTTTTTAAAAAAACACTATTATTAATCACGCTATTAAGTGTCGGATCTTCACAATAATCGGAGTAAAGAAAGCGCAGCGAGATTGATAGAGTTCTGGGAGCAACGAGCTGGCAGTCGTCTACTAATCCTAACAGCATTAGACCAGCATTAGACGTTGTTTACTACCGTCAACAGTCCTGGTATTTATTTATATTTTAATTGCGAAGTAATTTCATTAATAAATTTAAAAAATGGTGCAGTGTAATATTTGCAACAACTCTATCGCACGCGAAGATAAGAACAATATACACTGCGTTAAGTGTAAAATAATTTTTCATGGTAGGTGCGTCAACCTTACTGATAAAGACACCGAAGCACTAAAAATAATTAAAAAAACATGGGTTTGCTCTAACTGCGAACAGGTGAAAAAACAAAATACCGAGCCGTCCCCTCAGAAATACTTGCGGCAGTAAATCGTTTAGACGCTACCGTGAACGAGGATATAAAAAACATGAAAACAGCACTAGATAAATACGGAGAGCTCAGTTTTGAACTAAACGAAAGACTGACGAAGATTGAAAAACATCTGGAAGGTCAAGCTAAAAAGTTTGAGGAGATAATATTAGAAAATAAAGCAGTGGGCGAATTAGAGGTTCGCTTGAATAACGCAGAGCAAGGACTATTAAGTAGATCACTGGAGATCCGCGGTATACCGGAGCGACCGGGCGAAACGCCCGCTGCTTTGGTGACCAGTATAGGAGCAAGCTTGGGGATCAGGCTTAATGTGGAGGACCTGGACAACGTACATCGCCGCAGAAGCCGAAAAGATGACTCGCGACCACCGCCTGTTATCGCACGTTTTGTCAGGCAATCAATTAGAGATGATTTAATTACGAAAAGGAAAGTGAAGAGGGATTTCTCCACGCGGGATATCGGTTGGCAGGAAAATGACTGCCACCGAATTTATCTGGGTGAAGAGATGACTCGCACAAACAGACACCTCTATTGGCTAGCCCGGCAGAAGAGAGCGGCGGGAAAAATCAAATATACGTGGTTTGCTTCCGGAAAGGTGCGGTGTCGAAAAGAGGACGGACATAGAGTCATCCTGATAGAACAGGCCTCGGATCTAGATGTATTTGACTGACTACCTAGAAGCCGTCAACCCCTTAGCCTCATTAAAATAGTCTTACTTCTTCTCTTAGTGCTATCTCTACACCGTCACTCACCAATCTATTTATTTTTAAGTACATTCTCTTTATTTATTTTTAATGTTAATATACTTTTTCTTCACTTAGTTTCATGTACGATAATCGCTTTTCTGTACTTTCTACTCGTTTTGTCTTCTCGCTACCAAACACTGACTGTTTCTCTCCAAATCCACTGTATGTCTAGTTCCCTAATCACATGTCAAGTTAACTCTCAATCACTTTCTGCCCATTATGACGAATTCCTGCAATACTTTACCCAAAACTTTTATCATATCATAGCAATATCCGAAACCTGGCTCAAACCTTATATTCCATCATCTTCAGTATCCTTGTCTAATTACATCCTGCTCGGTCAACCGGGTAAACCGGACTGGCGGTGGAGTAGCCATGTTTGTTCACAATAGCCTAAAGACCCAAATCCTCGATTGCTCCCCATCTTCAGATCATCCTCATGTAGAATACCTCTTAGTAGAAATTCTCAGTAATATTTCTCCTATCCTTTACACCGTGGTATATCGCCCTCCTCTCGTGCCATTTGAGCCGTCCTTCGAATCAACCCTATTCAACTTCGTTCCTCTCTATCCCAGAATAATTATCTCCGGTGACCTCAATACCAATTTCCTCTCAAACTCCAATTATAAATCCTATTTAGAAAATCTGTTTTTCTCACTTCACCTATTCATCATTAGTTTTTCCTCCACCCACCACACCAGCAGATCTGACACTTGGCTAGACTTCTACATCAGCGACTCAGCACAAAACCTCCTCTCCGCCTCTCAATTGCCAGTATCCTTTCTTTCATCTCAAGATCTGTTACAAATAACGTATAATATCCGCACTCTTACAATCCATCCTCGAACTATCACTTTCCGCCAACTGGATACCCTTACTCGAGAAAAAATATTACCTGATCTAGTAACATTGGATTTGAATGGAATATACCATTGCTCCTCTGTCGACACCATGGTTGATATTCTCACCACTACTCTTCTCAATATACTCAATACCCACGCACCTCTCAAAACCTCCAACTTCCGTCATCGCCCTGCTCCTTGGATGTGTCAGGAAATTAAGAATCTGCAGAAGAGACGCTAAGCTGCACGCAGACGCTTTAGACGGACTAGGCTTGCAGATGATTATCAAACATTCAGAGTGCTTCGTAACACGACACAGACAAGGATCCGACAAGCGAAAGCGAACTACTTTCATGAAGCCCTTTCCTCAGCTCCTGATATCAAATCAAAATGGCTTCTACTTCGTAAGCTTTCCCTCTGTGAACCTTCTAGATCCCCTTCCTCAGTTTTCCCAATATCACCTGATGACCTAAACTCCCACTTTATATCGGTTTCCACCTCTTCTTTACCCTCCCTTTCCGGCTTTTCTCCAGAGGTACCTTTTAACGACAATAATTTTTATTTTTCCGACATTTCTCCCACAGACCTTATTACCGTTATAATGAAATCTCGTTCCGATTCCGTAGTCCCAGATGGCATTCCTATCAAACTAATAAAATTATGTCTCCCTGAAATCCTCCCAGCACTCCTTTTCATCTACAATTTCTCATTGCAGAATTCAACATTCCCGACCTCTTGGAAAAAAGGTAAAAAAAAAAACCATTGTCCTTCCCTTTAAACAAGAAGCCTAATCCATCCTCTCCCGAAAATTTCCGCCCAATATCAATCCTTTCCAATCTTTCTAAACCCCTTGAAAGGTTAGTGCAATCCCAAGTTTCCAACTTCCTTGAACAATCCAACCAACTCGATCCTCTCCAATCTGGCTTCCGCCCTGGCTACTCTACACAATCTGCTCTGATTAAAATTACCAGTGATATTCAGACTGCAATAGATGACAAAAAACTGACCATACTTGTACTTCTTGATTTCTCCAAAGCTTTCGATTCCATTATCCATTCCATCCTTTTCAACAAATTAAAATCATTATCCTTCTCCAATAGTTCCAACTCTT